TGGAGAGGAAGGATGCATGGTGCAGGCTCCAGCTCAGGAGCTGGAGACACTAAGACTCAAGCAGGTACCCAGGAACCTGAGGAGGCCACTCGGAGGTCGCCACTATCAGGGTCCTGAGCTGAGAACTGGTGGAACAAGGAGGGGCCAAGTCTCCCTACCATGGCTGCCCCCCTCTGGGAGGCGGCCCAACCCGATTAACTCCAGCCCCTAAGCCTAACTGCCCTGCAGACAAGAGCAAACCTATTAATTCTGGCCACTAGGCCTGACTGCCCTGTGTGGCAGGGTATTACTATTGACTCTGGCAGCTAGGCCTTACTACCCTGTGAGGCAGAGCGTTGGTATTGGATCTGGCCATTAGGCATCACTGCCCTGGGCGCCCAGGTATTGTTATTGACTTTGGCTACTAGGCCCCATTGCCCTGGGAGTCAGGGTGTTGCTAGTGGTAGGCCTTACTGCCCGGGGAGCCAGACTACTGGACCACTTTCCGGAGTGTGATTTGTCTTGTGTACCCGAAGTTTCACCTCCCTGAAAAACTACTTGCTTACAAAAATCAGACATAGAAATATAAAAGTGTCACAGCCACACTGTTACTGACAAATTGCTGACTTTCTCATTTTGTCTGTATGAAATTTTAATTTGTACTGACTTCGCTAGTGCTTTTTATGTATCTGTTGTAAAATTAGGCAAATATCTAGAGGAGTTGATGTACCCCCTGCAAGACCTCTGTTTACCCCCAGAGGTACATGTACCCCTGGTTGAGAACCAATGCTTTGGGGGACACAGAAGTATGCGTCATTGGCAGTCCATGTAATTTAAAGAAAGCTTTAAATTGCTCTAAATGATGCTGGAGGACTAGCACAATATTCAGCCAGGGTAGGGCCGAAAGAGTACAAAGGGCGCCTTGCACCTCCACCGCTGAACTTTTCTGTATGATTCTCAGTCACAAGTGAAGATCTAACCCATTAGATTTTAGAACTCAAAATGCGACCACTTTTTTAAGAACACGGAGAAGCAGTTTAAATACGTACAGCCAGATATTCTAGCAATAGAATGATTCGGAAAGTGTTACGGGTAAGAGTTGCTAGTGCCTCTTTTCTTCCCATCTGACCCTTCCAAGGAAATACCTGTCCTTAATTCCCTGCAGTGCTTTGCTCACTGGAACATTATACTCTGGAAAAGTAAGGGGAATCCCTATATTATAGATAACGCACAAAGTTGCTTTTCAGGCAGGTTTAGATACATAATATTTATTCCTTCCTGTTTAAAACCAGTAAACCACCGGGCTTGTCTTACAGTGTGGAGATGTCTCCTTTTCCCCACTAGGTGTCTCCCCTACTCTATCAAAAGTCACAGTTTATGGATAGTGTCAGAGGGGTAGCCGTGTTAGTCTGGATCTGTAAAAGCGGCAGAGTCCTGTGGCACCTTATAGACTAACAGACGTATTGGAGCATAAGCTTTCATGGGTGAATACCCACTTCGTCGGATGGATGTAGTGGAAATTTCCAGAGGCAGGTATAAATATGCAAGCAAGAATCAGGCTAGGGATAACGAGGTTAGTTCAATCAGGGAGGATGAGGCCCTCTTCTAGCAGTTGAGGAGGATACTAATGGTTAAAACCTTGTATAGCAATCACAGTTCACAGTATTTTGAGTAAAAAAAGCCCTCTGTATCCTCTTATCTAGGCACAGTTACAAAACAGCATGTAACATTAATATTTTTATCTCGGGCTATGTGCTGCATTCAATATCAGATAAAAACAGTAACCACCAATACACCTTTTCAGCTTTGTTGGCTTCTGCAATAATACAATGAAACATCTTTCTGCAGGAGTCAATCAGTCCATCTTTCCATTTCCCTAAATCTCTAATGGAACCTGGAGAAAACAACCTGTTACCATGGAAAGGAAGAAGAGAAACCTTGATTGTGAAACTATTGCTCCTGAAACCTCATTAAAGAAAAACAGGGGCTCTGGAGGGCTGTCATTTCTCATAGAGAAGGTCACCCCATAAACACAGGGATTCCTTTCTTCTCCAGACAAGCTTTGGTGTAATTCAATCAGCTCCATAGCCAGTCAAAGTCCTGCCGCACCCGAGGGCAAGCAAATCTCCAAAAATCTCCCACTAGCAAAATTAGATTCAGTTTCAGCTGGATCTCGATAAAAGTAAAAGTCAAAATCTTGCAAAAGAACCTGCCGACTCTCTCCCTGCAGGATATTGTCATAGTTAGGCACAGCAGAGTTACTTAAGCTAACGGTGCCTTGGTTTGAGAGAGTGAAGGCTTGTTGCAGAGCACTGTCCTTAAGAAATTCTTGATTATGAAACTTGCTCCCTTCCTTACTTTAGTGTGTCAGAGCCCATTTGCCTGGATCTTAAGAAAGCTTTGTGGTGGCCATGTATTTTGGGCTGGCTTGGGAAGGGGTCAGACCAAGGGATGTGATGGACAAATGAGGAGATGGAAATTTGTCTCTAAAGTGATTTTGTGGGGTGGATTGGCAGGATGGGGCACGTCTTTGTATACCGGAGTTTTATCTTTGTGCATATCTGAACTTTTTGTAAGGAGAGTTCCATGTTATGCATAAACACTTTTAAAATATGAATAAATAGTGTAAATAAAGTCTCTTTCTGCAGCCCCTAGCTTCCCCCATCTCGGGAAAATAATTCTTATTTTACTACCTCATACACACATTGGAAGTGTTCCTATTTGTAAACTGCGTTGAAGGTAAGAGAGTATTATTATCCTCCTTCATTGATGGCTACGAATCTGCAGTTCAACTTACATTCCATTCTGTCATCTTTCCCATGTGGGATAGGAATTTCTGGATTCTGTGGGGTAAAACTAGTCATTTTGCCAGAGGTTAGCAAACGACTTAGTATCAACATCCACAAAATAATAAGATATACCAGGGGAGTCCTCATGAACACTATGATCTGCCTCTCCGATTTTACAAATCAACTCAATGGTGGAAAAGCAGTGTGTCCTAGTAACATTCTAGGAGTCAGGACTCTCAGATTCTATTCTCAACTATACCACTGAGTCATCATGTGGCCCAAGGCCAGTCATATAGGACTAAATTCTCAAGGGCAGCTTCTAATTTAGGGTGCGTCAAAATTTGAGGGCCCAATGTTAAACACCTAGAACCTGATATTTATAGGTCATGAGCACCTGCATCTTCCACTGACTTTAAATTACAATTTGGGTGCTCAGTGCCTTCGGAAATCAGGCTGTGGGCTTCTAAAGTTAGCAGCCAATGAAGTGAGGTACCCAAAAGAGAAGTGGCTTTTGAGAAGTGGCTTGAGCCATTATATTTTTAAAATTCATCTCCCATGATGGAAATCCAAATACAACAGTATTTTGCCACTGTCCTACCACATTACAGTATGAAATTAAGTCTACAGCGAACAGAACTGTTTTAAGTAACTGAATCCCAGTTGTCCAAAACATCTGGTTAATCAAACATTGTTTAATGTAACCCAAAGATTGGGTATGTCTTCCCCAAGGCCAAATGGCACATTTTCATTGCAATCCAGGTTCCCAAAAGCTGGGACAAAGCCAGTGATGTTGCATCAATTGGCTTCCCCAGGGCACAACAACAGATATTCAGAGTGCTAAGCTCGGAGGATCCAGAGCACATACTATTCCCATAGAGCTGTCTGGCATGGAGAAAGCTGTCTGATGGAATATTTTAAACTATGATCCAAACTTGGGGAACCCAGAGTACAGTCTTTGAGTGGCAACTGACGGGGCACCATCCTGGCTAACAATCAAGAATGCAGGGGAGCAACTTGGAGGTCTGCACTCCGGGCCTGAAGAACCTAGCTTCCTTTGAGGTTTCAACTCACTGATTATCTGAAGGTTTGGGACATTCTGTGTCAGTAATTGAGTTTCATTGTGAAAAATGAGTGAAGAACAAGAAGTACACTATTTTAACCCTCAAGGTGCGTTCCTAAAGAACTAGTGCCATGGGTAATATTTTATCATTAAAAATATTGGGGGAACAGTACTTGCTAAAGTAACAGAAGCCTAGGAGAGCCAGACTGGGGAGATCTGCATAGGGAGTAGCAGCTCTAAGACACGCTCTCCACCAGTGCCCACTGAAGCCCCTTTATTCCAAATCCATGAGTGTTGGGGTTCTGAAGGTGAGACCAGGGTACAGCCAGAGCAGGAGCATCTGTACTCTGTGGAGTGCTCCTCTCCAGACTTCCTGAACATACTCAGAGACAGTTAGCGGTATTCTGAATAACATTAGTTCCCACAGCTACCCCACTCACCGGATGCCCGAAACATCTGCCTGGGGAGGCAATACATCTGCCAGAGGCAGTTCAGCCAACACTGGGGAAGAAGACCCATAGATCATTGCGGATGATCCTGGATCCATGGAGTCGGGAGAAGAGTTCAGCTATGAATCCTAAACTTCTGCAAATTTAGGTCCTCATATCCTCTTCTGAATCCTCCACATTCCTCCACTGTGTAGAGTTTTCTGGGCTCTCTGTCCCATGGCCAACAGGAGTATATGAAATTACCCTTGATTTTATCTTGACAGTGTCCCTTTAAAAGTTAGGAGGAGGACATGACTAGCAAATTAGCTTAATCATATTACTGTAAATGTGTGGTAGACATAAGATGTGAGAGTGCTGGGAAAGGCAGGTGTGGCAGACATTAGCCTCACAGCTCAAGTCACTATTCTGTCTGCAATGTCTTAGAATTACATAACACAGAAGTTACCTCTTCTCACTTAAATTATTAAGCATACAAATGATTAGAATAGTTTTCTGTTGGAAATGTGCTTTTGTAAAGTTAATTACTTTGGTCACAGGTAAACTATAGAAAATGTGGCATAGAAAGTATTGATTCAATGCCTAAAACCTTTCAGAAACTCTTTGATAAAGAATTCCTTCAGGCTCTCATACTTAAAACTATTAGGAAACAAAACATGGTTAGCCACACTCTTCAAAGTTAAGTTTGGAATGAAAACTAGTGAGACATGCTGATCTGCACTGTACCTGTACAGATGAAACTTGATAGTCCTCCATAGATGACATCATCATTGTCTGGTAATATAAATGGACACCTTGTCTGAACCTCCAAACAGTATTGCTTGCAAGGAATTCTGTTGCTGCAGTGAAACTGTGTGACTTCAAAATACTGGGAACAGAGCCAGGCTTTGTAGACAGTCTGGAAAAAGAGAAGAATCAGAAGTATAGATGGCTGACAATAGCACTGTAATTATCAGAAGCACATAGTGTACTGCACACCTACGCTGATGCTGGTTCTTAAAGCAAATTTTAAGAGAATATCACCTGAGTAAAACAAACCCATAACATATCACTACCTTCCCACTTCTGTAAAGAAATCCCCAACCAAGCCATCTAAAATGACTGATTTAAAAACATAAAACATTACTCAATCATGATTGGATTAATATTATTCTGTAATCATATTTGTGTAGAGATGTACCAGTCTCTGATGCACCTTTAAATTATACACATGTCCTGTACTTTACAGATAAACTGTGGTTCTAAAAAATTTAGAAATAATTTGAAAAAAGGCACAGGAACTAAACACCAGAAGGAATTTCAAAGAGATTTATTTAATACACTCTGGCCTATTTGCTCTTCGTAATTTTACCGAATAGAGAAAAGGTCACAGTAGATGGTGCTGTTTCCCCTCAATTAAACTCCAATGCAGTCTGCAGGATTAAGGAGCACATTAGAGTGCCTGAACATCAACAGCCACAGACTAGGGGATAAAGTCAGGGAGAACATTTACATGTGATCCAGATCCAACCCATTAAAGGGTCCATCACCTGAAGCAGTAAAGCAACCCAGCCGAATAATTTATTTTAAAGCAAATTGATTTTGTTTGGTTTAGTCTTGTGGAAGGTATTTTCTTAAGACACACTATCATTCATAATGGTAACTTGAGCCTATTAGCTATACAACTGCTTCATACATGTGACCGTTCAGGAAATGCAAGAATTGCATTTGCTGACTATCAAGTAGCCATTGTAGGGAAACACCTACGGACTGAGTCCTAAAACAATTTCCTGGTTTCCCAATACATAATTTATGTTTATTTTTAAACACATTATTTACTGGCTAAGATTATTATCTAGTTTGCTGGATAATGAAAATTTCCATTCTGTCTTCACTCAAAAATATCTGAAAGATTTAGTAACTACATTTCTTCTATCAGAGGCTGAAAAGCAATATAGTTTAACTGATTATTTCTCCTCTTTCTATACCTGTTTTTAATAAAAAAGGAAAACTGAGATTATAAAGTTTAAACACTGAAAATTCAATAGCTGATCCTTCAAAGGACTAATTTGCTAGAGGGTTTGGTTCAATGTAGGCATGTTTCATCTTATCAGTTATAGTTTTTATTAGTGTCAGTAAAATTTTAAGTTCTATAATTATTTCCAAGGTGGTAGTTCCAGAACCAAAGCTATTATTTTAGAATATTTGCAATGGCAGCAGATATGGCAAGGTTTTTACGTGACAACTGAAAATAGCGTCACTAATCTGTGGTTTATGTTAACCCCTTTGTAGTAGCTTTTAGCTATTATATTGTCAAGAAAAAATATTTTCATTACAAATTCACTTGTAACTGCTTACATGGAGTATATTCACAATAAATGATTATCATGCCAGCAGTCCAGATGATATATGTATTCTTTGTTCTCAAATAAAATTTGAAATTACAACTGATTCTGTATGCAGTGTTGTTGTAGCCATGTTGGTCCCAGGATATTAGAGAACAAGGTGGGTGAGGTAATATCTTATACTGGACCAAATTCTGTTGGTGAGAGAGACAAGCTTTCGAGTTTATACAGAGCTGTTCAGTCCTGAAGAGCAGCTCTGTGTAAACTTGAAACGTGTCTCTGTCACCAACAGAAGTTGGTCCAATAATTTTGACCAGTCAAGCACCTCCCTGTGCCACAGTTTACCTATCTGTAATGTACGCTGTATTTCACAGAGTCTGACACTTACTATTTATAAAGTGCAAACAATCCAAAAATGAAAGATGCTATGTGAATTATCTACAAAAATCGATATTGGTTTATGAATGTCAATTATAGAGTATAGAAAAAAACAGATAAATGGGTGTATACATTTGAGTGGGACAGGATGTGAACATTATTCAGGAGTAGGATTGGTTGGGAACATTTTGATGAAATGTTTTTTCCATTGGAAAAATGTTGATTCATCAAAACTGAAATTTGGTTTCAATGAAAATTTAATCGGGAAGGTTTCTGACATCCAAGATGGAATTTCTCATGAAAACCAACTAATCAGAATAGCCAGTAGACTAGTGGGTCTAGGTCACTCCCTAGGGTGTGGAACACCCAAGTTCAATTCGCTACTCTGAATTAGATAGAGCAAAAACATGAACCTGAGTCTCCTATATCCCAGGTGAGTGGTTTAACCACTTGGCTTTGGAGTCAGTCTCTCCTTGTCTTTCTCAAGGAACATTTAATTATATGTACAAAGTGGAACAGCTCTAACAGGAGAGATTGACAGACAGTGCCTCTGTAGCCCAGTGTTTATGGCACTCAACTGAGATGTGGGATTTATTTGAAATACTATATTTCTATACTGTGTAAACTCTATTAGTAGGTGCTTGGTATATGTAAACAGAGCCAATTGTTGTCACACTGATATCACATAATACCAGTTACCAGTTTAGATACTTACCAAACTGGACTATCTGCCTTTGGTTCTGTAGAACCAGGTTCTATAGACAACCTGCATGAGCCTGCTCATGTTCACTAATCATGTTACCTGAATCCAACAACTTTTACCTTAAAATTTATGGACATTAGCAAACTTGTGAATGCTCACAAGAAGTATCCTCTACTTGCATAATCAAAACTTGCTATGTAATATAATTTATTTTGCATAACAGCTTTCAAAAAAAAATCATCACAGGTGACTTTCCCAGCTGATTATAGTCTGTAAAACAGGCTACAAATAGAAGTCATTCCAGGCCAAAGGGGGCTGCAAGAAGTGGCACCCAGCACATCTCTTGGCCCACACTGCTTCCCGCAGCCCCCATTGGCCTGGAATGGCGAACTGCAGCCAGTGGGAGCTGCGATAGGCTGAACCTGCAGACGCTGCAGGTAAACAAATCCTCCCAGCCCGTCAGCAGATTTCCCTGACAGGCCGTGCGCCAAAGGTTGCCAATCCCTGGACTAGGAAGTTTGGGGCACATGTGCAGGCCAAATGGATAGTGCTTCCAAAAATCTCCAATCAAAGGTGCATGGGGTTCATGTGCACCTGAAGTGAAGCACCCCTACAGACACTACTCAAAAAAGAACCTGTGTTTTTGGAGCTGAGGTATGTGTGGTATTTATGCAACACACAGGTTTGTTAGAACTTGCCCTCAGCCAGTACAGTTCCACATCCCTGTCAGCCTGCCTCCAAGAAGTTCACATTCTGTCTGGCTTTCAGATGGTTAGGAATCCTGTCCTATCTGCTGAGATGCCCCAAATCCTTGGAGTTCACAGATTGTTCCCATAGGTTTCTGCTGTTATATAAGAAGTTACATGTAAACCCATCAATGATAATGCATACCCAGCATGTAAGTCAACATACATGTTGCAACTATTAGTCTTTTTTTAGCACTTCAGTGGCTAAGCCAAAGATTTATAGTCACAGTAGATGTTCCCCTTAGTTTTATTGCATACAATAAAAGGTATTTAAAATTATGTTATTACTAACATTTTTCCACAGAATTTTCATGAGATATGGGATGAATACTGTATGTGTGGGGCTGTAATTGTGTTATACAAGTATTAGCTTGCTGTAGAAAATGCACCAGGCTCCTACATTTTCATGTATAGTAAATGAAACACCAGTTTTGTTCATTCATAGCACAAAGATAAATTATTCATGACCATCATTTTGGGGAGGATTTTCTTTTTCATTCTCCCTCACTCTCTCTCTCTGCCTCACTCCCCCACCCCCCCACACAAGTGGGCATTGCTTCCACCTTTACATTACCCCTGTTTTTTTCCATCTTCCAATTTAACATCTATTCAAACTGCCTGGTATTACTTGCTATGATGAATTGGTCTTCAGCTGTCTGTGAGAAAGTAAAAGGGGGGATTCCATATTTTCCTGGGAAAAAAAGCATATTGCCTTTTTCTAAAAAAATACTTCTATTTCTATATTCTCTCCATTGTTTTTCAAGTCGATACTTTGTTAATTTACTTACAACCAAGGGAAAAAATACAGAATATGAATAACTCAAGTATCCAAACACACATGTGCACAAACATGCCTGCACAAACATGCCTGCACACACACACACGCACACACACACTCAATAGACATGTTAAAACAACTAAGCAACCCCACTTGTAAGATAAAAGAGGAGCTTAACTGGAATCTTGGGGAGGGTGAGCCCTTACAGTGCCTTCATCAAATTATCACGTCATTGACAAAGGGCATGGGAGTTCTTGTTCATGGACATCAGATAAGACAGAAAGCTCTTTCTCGGCATATGCTGGCTCAGTCACTGTCAAAAAAAGGACACTGCTATTTCTTCCCAAGTAGATATTTTTGCTCCAAAGCAAAACAAAGTCAAAAGAAAACAGCATCTAAAATGATGGCTCTTTATACAAGCTGTCCCATATCTGCCACTGTCTCTCTGTATGATACTGGGCAAACACTAGGGACCCAAACCAGCAAAGCAGTTCAGGTGGGTTTTTCAAAAGCACCTAAAGGAATTAGATGCATCGCTCCAATTCACATGTTTGTACAGCCCATCTTTAAGCACCCACTTAACAAGTGGGACTACTGTTCAACTATGCTTATACATATACATTATATACATATACACATATATATGTGTGTGTGTGTGTGTGTGTGTGTGTAGATGTCTGCATTCCTCTGAACTCAACTTGGGATAAATAATTTAGCATTATGAATGACAGCTGGTATCTGGAACTCTACACATATACATAGCTGTCAGAATATAAGAGCCAGTGAAAAAGTTCAATTCTGTGAAAAACACTTCTTTCGGAATCTCTTCATTCTTCTCTGGCATATTTTCCTTTTCTCTCCTCCACCATTCCTCTTCTTTTCTTTGTTTAAACAGAATGACACTGCTGTTTTTGGACAGGCTCCAATACATACAAGTGATTTCTGATTTACTAGTGAGCTAGCCCATTA